AATAAATGTGAAATTTTAGATCAAATGAAATTCCTTGGAATTATCAAATTAAATCAGAACTGACTCAAAAGAATTAGAAACATGAATAATCCTGTGATTACTGGGGGGAAACCAAGTACCAGGTCCAGATAGTTTTGCTGGTGACTTCTAATGAGCATTTGTGGGGGAAAAAAAATTTCCAATTTCAGAAGATAGACAGAGAAGGAATACTCTCCATCATAGAGTGAATTGCATTCCCTCAAAATAAGTGTCAGCTTGTCTCAGCCATGATTCTCAGTGGTTTGGCAGTAATGTAATGATGTGATCATCTTCCATGAAGTGATTTGATGTGATCACCCAATAAGTGGTAAGGGAATTAGGGGGGCATGCAACACTCTTACTTAGGTCACAACCCTGATATGATGTAAGGGGAGTTTCCCTGGGGTGAAGCTTGCATCACCTCTTTTATCTTGAAAACATAAAAGGGGAGACGCAAGCAGAAAAGGAGGTACCTCAGCACCACCAAGAAAAAAGAACTAGGAGTGTAGGGCCTCCTTTGGACCCAGGATCCCTGTGTTGAGAATATTCTAGACCCAGGGGGAAGATTGATGCCAAGGAACATAGAAATTTACAAGGAATACTGGGCCTACAGATGTTGAAAGGAGATAAGGACCTTCCTCAACAGCCAATACTGTTTGTTCAGACCTTTCTTCAGCTCTAAAAAGTGCCTACAAAAAACTAAAGCAAATAATAAATTTATTGATGAAGTATGTCCCCTTTAAGACCAGGAAGTGCAGCCATTACCACCGGATGTCTCTGTCTTTCTGCATCACCTCTCCATGTGGCTCATATGACCTTCCTCTTAGCGTGGGGGTCTAATGGTGACTGGACTTCTCATATGTTGACTGGCTTCCCAGAAGAAGGAAACAGAAACTTCCAGACTTGCCAAAAGCTAGGATAGGAACAGATACGGTGACACATCCAGTATAATACACTGACCAAAGCCAAGTCACAAGCTAGCTCAGTTCAAGAGGAGGGTAAATAGTCTCCACCTTTCATTTTAAGAAGTGGTATGTGCATACAAGTAGGAAGGAATCAGTGGTGGTCATCTTTGGAGACCATTTCTCACAGTTCCTATCAGATGGGCAAAAATATAAAATTCTAAAGATACAATATGTTTGTAAAGTTGTGGAGTGATTGGAATACTTACAACTTGAGGTCATGCAAATAGTGTGACAACATTGGAAAACATTTTGGTGTTATCTAGTGAAGATGAAGATGTGCATACTATATGGTCCAGGAATTTAGCTTCTAGGTAGGCATTCAGGAAAATTATTGCATATGTGTACCAGGTATATTACAGGAGTGTTAACAGTGGTGTCACTGTTTGTAATAGCAAAAAACCTGGAAACAAATCCAAATGTCTAACAACAGAGGAATAGATAAAAGAAAAGCTGGTGAAGTCTTACATGGAATGCTATAATTCAATTAAAATGAATGAAGTGCATATACAATAACATGGTTTCCTCTCCAGGATTACAATGCTCTTAGTGATAGGTTAGTATCTATATGCCTATAAGGAAGATCAGTTAATACTACTGTTATTCAAATTTATGCACCAACCACTAAAGCCAAAGATCAGGAAATTGAAGATTTTTATCAATTTCTTCAGTCTGAAATTGACCAAACATGTAATCAAGATAGAGTGATTATTACTGGTGATTGGAATGCAAAAGTTGGAAATGAAGAGGAATCACCAGTGGTTGGAAAATAGGGCCTTGTTGATAGAAATGACACCAGAGATCGCATGATAGAATTTTGCGAGATTAATGACATATTCATTGCATATACCTTTTTTCAACTACATAAATGGTGGTTATACACACATACCTTGCCAAATGGAATACCCAGGAATCAGATCAACTACATCTGTGGAAAGAGGCAATGGAGAAGCTCCATATCTTCAGCCAAACCAAGGCCAGAAACTGACTCAATTGCTCCTGTGCAAGTTCAAATTGAAACTAAAGACACTTAAAAGAAGTCCACAAAAGCCATTATATGACCTTGACTATGTCCCACCAGAATTTAGAGACCATCTGAAGAATAGATTTGACTCATTGCATACCAATGACTGAAAAGCAGACAAATTGTGGGATAACATCAAGAACATCATCTATGAAAAAAGACATCACTAAAGATTTCATATCACTTGTATCCACAATCAACACCATGAAAGCAGCAGTCAAGAAATCAGTTGTCATATTGCACTGGGCTTATCTGCTGCACTTTAAAGTGCTGAAGAGCAAAGATGTCTCTTTGAAGACTAAGGTGCACCTACCCTAAGCTATGCATGGTATTTTCAGTTGCCTCATATGTATGTGAAAGGTGGACAATGAATAAGGAAGACAAAAGTAGAATTGATGCTTTTGAGTTATGGTGTTGGTGAAGAATACTGATAGAATGAACCAATCTGTTCTGGAAGAAGTACAGCCAGAATGCTCCTTGGGAGCAAGAATGGCTAGACTTCATCTCACCTACTTCGTTCACGTTGTCAGAAGGGACCATTCCCTGGAGAAGGATATCATGCTTGGTCACTGAAAAAGGGGAAGGCCCTCTGTGGTGGTTAAGTTTATGTGTCAACTTGACTAGGCCTGGTTGAGTGGCTGGGCAGCTGAATGTAGCTATTCCCCATGGTGAAATTAATAATTAACTCCATGATGGAATCTATTTGAGCAAGCTGAGTAGCTGCTTTGAGTATGTAGTCTGCTTCCTGTATATAATAAGAAACAGCTTTGGGAATGGTCTCTAGCTTAAGGCACGCTTGAACCCTGCATGTAGCTATGTTGTTGTTCAGCAGCCTGCCATGCTCTGCCAGCCTTGGGACTTTCAATGGACTTGAATTAAACGGTCTGCTGTGTGGTTTGATAAAACATCACGATTGTGCAATTTTATTTGTTGACCTTGAGCTTGTCAGCCTCAGCAGCCTGTAGCTGCCTGAGTGAAGAGATGCCTCAAGCTTCAGTGGGCCGGGAGTAAGAGGAAGAGCTGAAGCTCATGGTCAAGGGGCTTTCACATAGCCCATAGAGCCTGGCACTTTGAACTCAGACTTTTAGCCTCCCGAGCTGTAAGAGAATAAACTCCTGTTCAAGCCATCCAATTTGAGGTATATTCCTGTCAGTGTGGCACTAGGTAAGCAAAACACCCTTGATGAGATGGATTGACACAGTGGCTGCAAGGACAGGCTCAGGTGTAGCACAGGTTGTGAGGATGACTCACGACCAGACATTGTTTCATTCTGTTGTACGTAGGGTCATTATGAGTCAGAGCCAAGTCGAAAACACCTAATCACAACAATAACAATAATAATCTTCAGGATATAAGGTTGAGTAGAAGAAAACAAGTTGCTAAAAGTCATACACAACATATATAAAGTTTATATATATATGTAGTATATTATTTAAAAAACAAAATCCACTGCTACTGAGTCAGTTATGACTCATAGCGATGCTTACTGTGTTTGCAAGGCTATAAATCTTTACAGAAATAGATTGCCTCATCTTCCTCCTGTGGAGCAGCCAGTGGGTTTGAATTGCTGACCTTCTGGTTAGCAGCACAATACCTTACCCATTACGCCACCAGAGCTCCTTAGTATATTATTTAGGGATGCAAAAATGAATGTTGTTGTTGTCTTGTAGAGTCAATTCCAACTCATAGTGACCTTATGTACAACATAATGAAACACAGCCCTGTCCTGCACCATCCTCATAATCCTGGGCTTGAGCCCATCGTTGTGTGGCTCTTCATAAATTTTTCTGTTAATACATTAGACAGTGTTTCACTGGTATTCATAAGATGAGTGGTGGAAAAATACATAGTAAGCCTGAAAAAACAAATAAAGAAATGACAAACAAAATTCACCATGGCCGTTATTTCCAAAGAGGGAGAAAAGGAGCTGGAAATTGGGCGAGGCACAAGTAATTCAAATCTTTCTTTGGTAAATTGAATGATGGATATTTTTTTGCATCATTATTCCTATACTCTGTGTATATTTTGTGGGTTTTTTTTTTTTTTTTTTGTCTTCTCAGTATTTAAGCAACGATGAAATTGCTAAAGCTTATTATAATTTTGGAGGGGATTCTCTTTGGTCAAGTGATATCATGGAAATCCACTGTGGACTGGCAGGGAAGGTGTGGGTTATGTCTTTGGTAATCACTTTTGTTAACTCTCTGTTGACCATCCCAAAGACCATCATGAATAGACATGCTGGTTTCATCATTGAATAATTTTGGCCAGAAACCCTTCTTTCTGCTTTGGACTTTGGTCTTCTGTGGAGTGAAAGATGGCGTTTTGCCCTTACCTTTCCTATTTTCTGTACTCTCAGCCACTTTTAAAAAGCTTGCCCATCTCCTTAAGACTTATGATTCCCAAAGCCATTTTTTTTTGTTGTTGTTGTTTAAGCAAATTCAAGGCTCACCCACTTGGATCAATGCTCATTGACTACTGAAAATCAAGAGTAATCTCAGTAATGACCAGAATTACTGGTCGGATGGAGTCTAATGAGACCCCCAATACTATGGTCCTGGGATACATTCTGGGCTTGGAATAAAGCTCACTCCCAGGGGATGGCTCTCAGACCAATAGTAAACAAGATGTACATGCAGACCTCTCAACCCAGGGTAATGCACCCACATACACTATGGAAATGCATCCCTTGGAGCAAATGACCACAGGGCACAAGAGGGGAAAAGTTCACACAGAGGAAATGCAGGAGTGCATAACTTGCATAACTATGAAGGACATAGGGGGAAGGTTACTGGGCAGGGAGGGGAGGAGACTGGGTTAGGATTGGGGATGGTAAATGGGGAATGAAACTAAATGTACACGTAATGTTGAATGTAAAACAAACTCTTAAAATATTTTTTTTTTTTAAAAAAAACGGAAATCAAGAGTAATCAGTAGTTGTCAAATGTAAAGGGTCGAAGCAGTGGTTTCTCATTTCTTGAAATTTTGTTGTTTCACAGATTGATCAGCTGAAGCAGGAGCTTTCAAAGAAGGAGTCGGAACTTCTTGCCTTACAAACAAAGCTTGAAACTCTTAGCAATCAAAACTCAGATTGCAAGCAACACATTGAAGTGCTTAAAGAGTCACTTACTGCCAAAGAACAGAGGGCTGCCATCCTTCAGACTGAGGTAAGGCACCATCTGAGGATGTAGGCAGTAGACATGTTGAGCTAATAGAATGTGCCCTAGCCAAACAACGTTCCTTAGAAAAGTTCTTACCCAAACTCTTGGGGCCAGGTGTATTTTGGAAGTTAGAGATGTGGGGACTTTGGAAAGGTAAGATACTTTGCATGTATTATAGATACATTGTATGGATAATACTCCCAGTGGTGTTGCAGCAATACCCCATGAGCAAACATATGGATATTTCTTCATAGAAAGAATTCCAGCACTAAAGTAGAATAAAGATTTTCCAAGAATCTTCCTGTTAGTTCATGACAGATTATATCATCAAAGGAGTTTGCTTCACACTTGGAAGAGTCTCCCCCCCGCCCATTTTTCAGAGCCTTTTTTAATGTGAAAACTGTAGATAAAGGATTAGATTTGGAATGGTTTGATTTTATCAAAATCAAAAATATCTAGAATATCCTCTTCTTTACTTTGCCGTGTATCGATATAGCTTCCCCTTCTTGGCATCCATGGTTCTTAGGGGTTTTTTTAGTTTCTAAGGAATGTCCTCAATTTTCAGGGTTCATTTATCCATTGAAAAAAGCAGGTATTATATGTTTTCTGAAGGACATGCTGGTTTGCTATTTATTATTCATGCTTAGAAGAAAAACAAATATATGTTACTTTCCTATCTCCTTGCTTTTTCTCATTGGATTATACCCTGGCTCTTCTAAGAGATGTGAAACACAATGTATTTATTGTGTAAATAAAGCAGTTGTGCCAAAATAAATTATCACACATGGGCAATAGCAAAGAATGTGATGGATGTCCCTGATTTTTATGTTGAGACACTAAAGTATGTGGATTATTTTGGGAGAAGGCAATCTAATCGAGATGCATGTTCTCTCTTGGGATCTCTTAGCCATATCTTTCCATACAGAATGTATATACTTTTTGAGCAAACAGGTTTGCTGGTCTGATAGAGCTGGTGGAACCCCTGAGACTGTGGCCCCTAGCTGCCCTTCAGCCTACTCCAAACAAAAAACAGGTATATGAGCTGAACATTTACATTAGGTAGATACATTCCTTGGGGGAGATCAATCATGGGAGAATAGAAGGGCTGTGTATGTACAGAGAGACAGCTGCAGGGATGGGGGAGGTAAGGCAGGAGTGCATGGAGGGAAGGACACAGGAGGAGGTAGCTATGGGGAGGAAGTGGGAGGAGAACTGTTGCATTGTGGGAGATTGCAGTCAATATCATGAGACAAAGTGTGTGTGAACTGCTGTATGGAAAATGAATTTGCTCTTTAAACATTCACTCAAATCACAATAAAATTTTAAAAAAAATGTATATACTTTTTGAGAATCTATGGGGAGGATTTGGTTTTGCCTCAGGAGTTAAGAGCTATTGAATAGATTTGTACCTTTGGTAAAGTTGCAGTACAGTGTCCAGAGGAAAAATAAAGCAGGTTCTGATTAGATCGGTTTTGGCATGGACCAGATTCAACCACCATATACTTGACCCTTGACTAACAGGCAATTTTTTTATGGATTCAAACCAAAATAATAACTTTGTGCTCAATGTGGAGTAGAAGAGGGGTTCTGGGTATGCAAAAATACATGGTAAGCCTGAAAAAAACAAGCAAGGAAATGACAAACACAAAATTTAGGATGGTCATTATTTCCAAGGGGAAGAGAAGATAGTTTACATGAAAGAAATATCATTTTCAGTTGTATACAGTTTTCCATTGTGAACATGTAGGCATGAGTACTTTCTTTTTTAAGACAGAAAAATTTAATCTATGCCATAAATCCAAAGGTAGCTTATACCTTTTTTGAAGAGGAGAAAGGAATAATGTCTAAAATTATACTGTCTAATATAGTAGCCATATGGTATATATGTTTTTGTAAATTTACAGCCATTAAAAGTCAATGAAATTTTAAATGTATTTTGTTTGTCACTATAGCTGCATTTCAGGTATTTATTCAGCTGTGGCTACTGGCTACTGTATTAGACAGTATATCTGTTGAACATTTCCATTATTTAGCATTGGTCTAGAATAGGTGTTGAAAAGATGTGGACTACAGACCAAATCTGGTCCTCCCCCTGGTTTTGTAAATAAAGTTTTATTGGAATAAAACCATGTCCATTCATCTACATATTATCTATGACTGCTTTAATGTTATAACTGTGTAGTTGAGTAGTTGCAACAGAAAGTGTATGATCCACAAAGCTGATTATATTTGCTCTCTAACCCTTTATAGCAAAACTTTTCCAGTGTCTGGTGTTGTGATTCCATGGGAAGAGGATTGAAGGGAAATTGGAATGGTGGCTCATCCTCTTTCTGTCTTATTCTGAACAGGCACAGATAACTTTCTGACTTCCGTTTTTAGAGCACAAGTTTTTCTTCAGTGTGGTTATTCACAAAGCAACTGATTGTTCCTACAGTTTGTCATATAAACTTACACACTTAGTGTAGTTGTGTTGCTGTGTGTTGGTTGCATAGGAGGGAATTTGAGAAGCAAGACAGTCCACTGAGGTATATTGCCAAGCAGGTAGTCAGGTCTCTTGATGACTCCTTGCCAGAAGAAAAGAATGAGAATTGTCAACCTGGAAGGCTCTTCTTCTCACTGCCTTACTTTGATGAGTGCTGAATTCCCTAGCCTCTTTCCCTTTTCTTATCCCCTGCTCTATTTTACCTCTCTCAAATTAACTGCCGTCAGTCCCAACTAGACTTATGCATATTTCATGAAAAAGACGGTGATGACATTATGTGGATAGATCTATCCTATGTTCAATAATTAAAATGACCCAGTAAAGGGAATGCTTTGAAGTAGGAAAAATTATTCTCCATGTGCGGAGAAAGTGAGATGATTTTGTAATCTTCTGCTTTTCAGTCAAGAGTATGAGATAATGATTTTATCAGCTGGAAACACCCAAGGAGTTTTTTTTGGCCTTTATTTCTTCTTTATGATCTCTTTGCAAACGGAAACAAAGAAAGTTACCTAATGATGTCCATCTCTTGGAGGAAGTAGTTTAGTGTGAAATGAACTCTTATTGTTGGATCAAAGGCAAAAGATTTTTGGCAGCAGGGTAGAATGCATTAAAGTGGTTTTTCCACCACCCCTTCCGCAGAGGAGCAAAAGGAAGGAAATAAGAGTCTTCCTAGCTAACTTGCAGTGGGCTCATGGGTGAGCATTTCAGTAGAGAAGATATGCTATGTTTCATTATGCCCTACAACAAAAGACTGCATTTAAATTCATATGAAAGATTTCAGTGCTCATCTTCAGAGGCGGTTACACGTGATAGCTGCTTGCAATTTGATTCCTGAGTCATTCCTGAAAATTCCTGCCAAAACAGATAGAGTTCTCTCTAGCGTGGGAAGAGCCTGGTTTGTTTCTCTGGAATATCTATACCATCAGCTGGCTTTGGCTGCTCTTTTAGAACATGGTATAAATGACAGATGTCACTGGCTGGATGGTTCATCTCTGCATAAAAGGCAGTTTGCCTTTGGGAGGTGGTGGGGTGGTGGGTGGGGCAAGGGGTAAGAAGCAAGTTGTCTGGGTTTGTGGCTGTGTGGCTTGGCTCCTGGGTTGGTTTGTTTTAACTTGTACAAATGCCCACCCGCTCTTTGACATGCATGCAATAAATCAATGGAATAATAATTATAAACACATACACACACACACAGAGATACACCACATAGTTCTTAATGTAACATTTTTCTTTTTAAAATAGCTTCAAAGGACTCTAAGGCTAAGTTTCTCATTCTGCTACTTTCCTTGATGTTTTCTACATACCATTTTACCCTGCCACCAACACATGAATTTTGCTGCAGTAGGCAGAAGGATGAATTGGCTTTCTTCAGCACCTTTTTTTTTTGGTCTGGATTTCAATAAATAATTACCAATATATCCAGAATTTAGGAAGAAAGAAGAAAGGCTTAGAAATTATTCTGTGATCTGAAATATGATGTAGGATGAGCACAGCATGTACAAGAGGGAAATGTGTGGACCTGCCTCAGCCTCTCCATTTAATAAGTGTCAAGCCAAGGTCAGGGATCGCCGATCAGCAGCACAACTTTGTATACATGGGCAGTGGGACAATGCGTAAGAGAAGAGACACAGCAAGGTCACCTTCAGCTGTGGTGTTGGTCCCTCATTGGCCAGTTGGTCCCCCATGGCCAGAGAGCAACTGATGCAGGGCTGATGATCTGCACACAACCCTCTTTGCTGCAGTTGAATGAGCTTGCTGTATGTCTTCTCTGTGTGAGTAAAGTGTAATTCTACTACCAGTATCTGTGAGTCTCACTGTTTGTTGGCAGCCTGAACCTTGCCTTGGCAGTTTGCTAATTACCGTTACATGGACAATACATGAACTTTCCTGAGCCTCTGTGTCTTGATCTGTAAAATGGCAATCATTGAGCCTGGCACATCTATACGAAAATGCATGGATGATAGTAAAGGGTTAAAGCTTTAAAATTTTTTTGTATCGATTATCATCATTGCTGGGAACTCTGGTAGCATAGTGGGTGAGACATTTGGCTGCTAACCATAAGGTCAGTGGTTCAAAGCCACCAGCTCTTCCAAGGGAGGAAGATGCAGTTATCTACTTCTGTAAAGATTTGCAGTCTTTGGAAACCCAATGGGGGTCACAGAGTTGGAACTGATTCTATGGCAGTGGGTTTGGTTGTTTTTTTGGGGGGTGGTGTTATCATTATTGCTGTTAACATTATTATGACTATTAGGATTGTGTATCAGAAGTGTCTGGGAAATGTGAACGTAAATACTCCACCTTACTTCTCTTACTCTCTTTCCAGCATGCTCTGCTTTTTTTTGTCTCTCCTTTGATACTGATATTTGAGACTTACAAATTTCAATTGAGTCATCTTTTTATGTCTTAGAATGATAAAGAGAAATAAAGATACTATGAATGTGACCATATATTTCCTTCTTTTCCCACATTAAGAGATTTAGTTGTGCTTTCTGACAGGAGTATTTTCCCAAAGCCTAGTATGATC